CAGATTTCTCTTCCATTTTCATGTCAAAGACTTGACTCTAGTTTATATTTGTGAGGAATTAAAATCTGTTTACTCACATACTCTAGTTTAAAGATGTAGGGCTTGTTAGAACTTCTATAAATTCAGTGAAGTCATGCTTCCTGCTTGGAGCTCATTTCCAAGAAAAAAAAAATCTGGATAATTCTGAAATATCCAGCTCTATCAATCAGTTGTTAATGGCAGAGATGCCAATTGTTGAACACTATTGCGTGCCATCTAGAAATAAGGAATGGGGTGCAAAGCACAAGAAACAACCCAGGGAATGTTAGTTGTAGACGTGTGTGTGTGTGTGTGTGTGTGCGCGCGCTTCAACCATCAAGGTTGTAGAACATAGATTCAGTCAGTCAAAAAATCTTAAGAGCTGGGAATGCATTTGAGGAGGCAGTAGCTGTGGGCTCTTCCAGGCTTCTGGCAGGCTATGGCTCTCCCATGCTCAGAATCTTCCTGTCTGATGCTATGAACATCTATCAGGATGGGCTTTTGGTAAGATCAAATAGTATTTCCAACTCTGTTTCTCAAATCTCTCAAATAACATTGCATTAACAATTATAGGCTTGATTGTTAATTAAACAGCAATGCATCTTCTGAGCAAAAGCCTGTCAGTTCTGAACAGATATTACTTATAAATCATTAACGTTGACTGGGCATCGAGATACCACTTGAACGAGATCCACCGCCTTCTATTGTGCATCCTCTAAAAAGTGAAAGGAAGAATTCTTTTATCCAATGGGTGAAAAAAATATAGCTATATGTACTTATTCAACATAGCAGGTGGATTTTTCACAGGCATGGTGCCACTCTTAGAGGAACTGATAACGTGGCTTCTGACCAGTTGGTTGTGTGTTTTCTCTGTATACCTTACACTCAACTGGCTAGAAATACCACCGACACAATCCTTCATCTTGTCACCAAGCTGTCTAACTGCAGCCTCATTCCTCACCCCCATCATCAACTTGTCCTTCCGGACTCTTCAAGGCTCCAGGCCTTCGGGACTCTAACTTCAGAGGCTCTTTAGAGGACCCTGGGAATACAGGGCCCCTGAAAGGCCTGCACCATAGCCTCCTTTCCAAAAGGAAACTGGCTTTTTCACAACTGTCTTCCAAATGACCAACTAACATTCACCTGACAGAGTTATCAATGGGGGAAGAGAGGAAAAGAAAACCAACAATGCAAGTTTTGCCACAATGTTATTAAATATGGAAAAATAAAATCTCCCAACCTGTAACACTAAAATATGGAACACACACTGTTTTTTTTTCAAATTCAATTTCTGTTTTAAAAAAGGCACAATAGGCAAAGAAACAGAAGGCAGGTTTAAAATAGAAACCAAACTTTCTTTTCTTTTCTTTTTGATAGAGAATACTGTAAACACAGTGTAAATACTGTAAAACAACAGGTGCAGGGCTACAAAGACGAGCCTTTGCCAATGTATGTGGTAAGATTTACAGAGAACAATCCAACATTTTTTTCAAAAATTTTTTTTAAAGGAGGAGGTGTTGTATTGTAAGGAAGTTATCTGGATGACACTGGCTGAAACACAGATTGGATCTTCTCCTGCTGGTTAGCTAACATTGATTTTCTGCCCCAGTGGAACAGATTTTACTGTGATGCACACCATTTAAATTCACTTTCTGCAGTTGCTTCACAGGGCTTGGCAAAGCCCAGCTAGATGAGGTTTGTGGGGGTAGACAATGCTCCTTTGAGGAGAAGGACAAGCCTGGGGTCTGAGGCTGATGACAACCACCTTCCTCCCTCACCATGATCTTCCTACTATTTCGTGAACTGACCTTGAAGGTACAAGGGAAAAAGCACAATAGAGGAAAAGACAATTTCCGAAGAATGAGAATGTTTGCCTCATTCTGTGGTTGTTATTTTACTCTGAGGATTATATTAAGAATTCTGTATTTGTTGGTCCAAATTTAGGACCACGTTCACAGAACACATAATTCTCAGTTATGAAATGATCATTTCCCCTGATGTCTAAATAAACGTAAACTGAATATAAGGCTATTAAAAAGCTCTGTCATCCACCCATAACAAACAGTGAAAGTGTAGTTTGCTAAGTTTACTCCTGAAACAAAGCTAGTTGACAAAAATCTGTTTTATGTTAACCAAAGAAAGGTATGTCTTTACCGGAAGTGTCAAGCACATTGAAGTCTACATACAACAATCTTATGATCAATATACACAAAACAGTGCCGACAGTTCACTCAGCAGTGGTGTGCTTTAAGGACATTTATTAACCTAAAAATGGTGACAGGGCCTCAGAGTGCACACCTTTTTACCTTTTTTATTGGTRCTGGGTATTGAACCCAGGGGTGCTTAACCACTGAGCCACATCCCCAGCCCTTATTTTCTCTTTTGAGACAGGGTCTCACTAAGTTGCAAGTCACTGGTACGACAGGCACCGGCCAGTGTGTAGATTTACAGAAGGAAAGAAGAGAAGTACTTTTTGTTGCTGTATGTAATTCCTGTATTTAAATTGATAAAAACATGGCTACACTGTTCAGGTAGAGAATTCTGTGTTGTTATCTGGTTGTATTTTCCTGGTGGCTTCAACATTCTAATCTCATTGGAAGGAAATATCAGAACCCTCTGGCACAGGTGCTGGCTCACTGACACCGTGAGGAAACTTCTCCTACGCCCTCTGAATGGGCCAGGCCAGCAGGGGTCTCAGGTCTCATGCCACGCCACTCTGGGTGACGGCATCTCACTGTGGTGGCAGGTGTGGTCATCACAGTCAGGAGGACAGTGCTGCACAACACAGGTAACCAGACAAAACAGGGACAGTGAAGGGGAAAGGATGTCCGAGCAGGCGACTACGCTGCTTCACGCAGATACAGGTTTCTGCACTCCCTCTCAGGCATGAAGGAAAGCAGGCATGCCAAAGCCATGCACAGACAGGACCCCAGGGCGACATGCAGGCTTCCCCCAAACTGCTGCAGTATAGATAGTGAAAAGCAAAAGGAACACAACACAGGAGGACAGACAGATGAACTGCCCCGGGTGGCTTTCCTATGAGGGCGTTTACTCTCTTGGCCTGGGCGTTCCTGCAGCCAGATGGCACGTTCCTGAATGTTTAGGAGAAAACACCCAGGTCCCGYAGAAGCCCGGGGTGTGTTGCCACCTACCCGTACTGGTCAGCCTGGTGCATCATGGGAGCCTGGGAGCTGCCATAGTTGGGGTGCTGGGAAGAAAACATGGGGCGTCCGCCAGCCCCAGACTGGCTGGGATAAGCAGGCGACCTAATGTATGGTGGCCTAAAGTGGAACAGAAGAACAGCTTCTTTGGATTTGTTCTGTAGCACAAGTTTGAATCCCTGTCTGCATGCTATTCCACATGTAGGTAGGGGGTTACAGAAGGGGACAAACAGGCAGAATACCCTGGACCATGCAGCTGCCTTGGGTAGGTCTGGATCAAATTTCTTTAAAAAAAAAAAAAAAAAATGTTGGGGCGGGCAGGGCACAGGAGGGGAAAAAATAAGATTCTCAGATCTAATCTGTTTACAGATGTGAAGTATAGCTTTGACTTTGGTAAAATCGAAAACTAAAATAAGCAGCCCCCTTTTAAACTCCCAGAGAGCTAAAATGGGCAGTATGTGAAGGTAAGGCTTTGGAAAGGTCTACTGATTACAAACAGAAAATAAAGACACATTGAATTCTAAAGATGACACACACACTGGCCCGGAAAGGGAACACAGCAAGACTTTCTAATCTAGCAGAATTCTGCCTTAATCTCTGTTATCCTCTCAGATCACCTTCAGAGCCTCATGACAAACGCAATCACATACTTCCTACCTAACAGAAGGAAAATAACTTGTGCTTTGAGTTCCAACAATAGACAATTCATTTAAACCTAAATCAGAACTTCAGTTGGACCAGCTGAACCAGTCTTCACAGACAGGTTTATCTAAACATCCCCACAGCCTGAGCATGTTGGCTACAAGGCAGGTGCTGGTGTTCAGAGGAGTTTAAGAGACTGTAATGGAGGTGGGGGTAAATGTGTAGGTGATTTTCATTTTAATTCCTCAAGGGAAATGTATCATTGTTTGGAGCAAACAGTGGGACTGGAGGGGTCCCCATCGTTTCGAAATAGCAGCTTTGAGGGAAAAGGAGCAAAGGGACACATTTAAACACACACACACACACACACACACACACACACACTCTCTCTCTCTCTCTCTCTCTCTCTCTCTCTCTCTCTCTTTCCCTTTCACAAGACTCAGAATCTTCTTTCTTCTGAAGATAACATTGAGATAAATATCTTCTAATGTGCTTTTTACAATACAGTCATCTTTGTCTCATAAATTTCTGATTCTGTTGTTATTTATACAGGTCAAGTATTACTTTAAGAATTAATATTAAGAACTGGGGCTAAAACCAAGCAAGCTGAAACCTTGCTCCATCAGCTTAAACTTCCGGAAATACTATCTTTGCTTTGTTGACCACACTTTGGTTTGGATGTAATTATGCCCAGAAAAAAAAAAWTTTTTTTTTCAGCATAAGGATACGAAGTGTACAAATCCTAGACAAATACTGTTAGGCCAGCACATGCAAAATTTCTTTTTACAAAGATTCTTATTGTAGGTTAAAAAAAAAAAGTGGGGGGCATGCATCCTTTTCAATGACTTGGATTTTAAATATTTTGCCTTTCGTGCTTCCTTCTCAAAATTTCTTTTAAATGGAACGAAGACATTTCACTATGCACCAGGATCTCGTATGCTGGTGTCAATGACTGTAATAGACATTTTTAAGACACTTTCCACAACTGATGAGCCTATTGCTCAGATTCCTTCCTCAGTGGATCATAAAACATGGTCACTCATTTCTCTGACCTTTATGGTATAGCATGTATTTGACACAAAAAGAATCGTCAAATGCAAGTGTGTTCTGCTGTTCTAGTGTCTGCTGCCTGGTCATGTGTCGGCACTGCACCTAGCTGGCTCAGCCCCAGCGGCTTACCTGCTTTGTGCTGAGTTGGCAGCAGCCTGCATCACGGCTGCAGCGGCTTCCTGTGCCTTCCGGTTCACGGTGGGCATTGGCGGCCCCATGCCTGGCCCGCCCTGCTGAGACATGCCAGGAGAGCCGGGGGTCACACTGCTCATGTTTCCAGGAAATGGTCTGTTCTGCATCCCAGCTGCCGGCATCCGTCCCAGGGGCATAGCACCACATTGCTGGCTTGGCCCTTGTCCATGCATCTGGTTGTTGGCACTGATGCCCATACCGGGCCCTGGGCCACTGTAGCTTGCACTGGGCACCCCACTATACGTTGGGGGTCTGGAGTAGTTACCTAAACAAAAAGCAAACACAGATTAAAGGTTTTAATTTAGTCCTTATACTTGTGAAAACACTCCCTGGAAATACTTTCTGTGCAACAATGTGCTCACCATAGAGTATTAATCATGATCCCCATTAGCCCTTCCTGTTGGTGTAGATGAGGCTGCCAGTCTCAAAATATGCTTTCTCTGCACATTCCCAAAGTCCTAGGGGTGAGCCCAAAGACAAAAGAATCCCCTGCCCCCAAGGCCCCTGCAATGTTGAGGAGAAAGGCAAGCTAATCTTAAAATGGAATACCAGCAATAAGCTTTGCTTTAATATTCTTAAACTGTAACCAAAATCATTGTTTGAATTTGCAAGTATTCTGATGAAGATCACTTTGGGACTGCTCTATCACATCAGTCCTAGGCCAACAGTTACGGTAGGGCAAGTGCACTTAGGGCCAGGTTAGCCTCCAAGACGTAGGGTGGGTGGTGTCAATGTCCAACATGGCTTTTCACCAACTTTGGGAACAACTAACTATAATTTTGCCTGGGCGCCCAATGAAGTGGCTGGTTTGTGCTTAGGTCCCATTATCTTACGATTCCAAACACCAGTGTGACACTGGGCACATCAAAATGGTGGCATGAGAAGAAGCAGGCAGGGCTGGCGGCTGAAACAGGAAYCACAACCTTACCTCCCAAATCTGCCCATGCTGGGGAGCTGAGGGAGCAGAGTGTAGCTGTAAGGGCTCCGACTCTTAGTGGTTTTGTTTCCTCCTTCTTCCTACCTTCTATTCTGATTGCATGTATACAAATTAAATTCTAGTAAATTAAAGGCATACATGATACCACTTCAATAACAGCAGAAGCAGATGTTAACTGTGGAACCACTGCGTGGGCTTTGCCCCACTGAATTCATTCATTTCTCCCCAATAATCATATGAAATACAGATACCACTGTTTACAAGTGAGGGAAATCAAGAGTTAGTAACCTGGAATGAAGTTCAAGCAAACAGACTCCGGAACCCATGGGTTCCATCACCCAACACATTGCATCCCAATAAAGGATGGTTGAAATAAAAAATGTAAAAAGACAGAGCTATTTGTAGAATACGGATCAGCATTTCTCAATCCTTATTACTTTCTAAAAGATTCTCCCCATCCACCTAACAATACACACATTGTATGTGACATAAAGTTGAATGATCCTGGATTCCTATACTTGGGAAGCTCACGATCTACATGCAAATGTGTTAGAGCAGGATGGGCAAAGATGAGAAAAGACTCCAAAGTCAAACCAGAGAGACTGAGGCAGGAGTGAGTCTGAGTGGGGGTTGGGCTGCCCTCTGTGATGGGGTGGTAGAGACTTCTCAGAACAAAGCAGTTCTGCCTTCCTGACCACACAGCACCCCTAGGTGGGCTGCTCTCACCTTCCTTCCTTTCTCCACCCTGTAAACAACATTCCTCTGATATCCTCCACCTGAAGGGCATCAGGACTGAACCCCAGACACAGTCAAGTCATCTGAATCTGAGCAGGAGGTGGAGGGACTGCAGCTACACAGGAGCAGGGCAAGGAGGGGAAGAGCCCCCATGGATGGGTGGCCATGAATACTGCACACGGGCAAGAGAACACTCAAGACAGTCACCAAGAGCCAGAGGGGGCTGAGTTGGGGGCAGCAGGGTAAAAAGGACAGATTGCAGGGCGCCCATGGGCTTCTATGTATGTGGTTTAACCCTGAAGATGAGGAGCTTCTCAAGGATTCCCAATGGAAAGAGAACTAGATCAACAATGATAAAAGCAAACTCTTAATATTTACCAGGCACCAGGCTCAGTTCCAGGTTCTCTGTGTTAACCCCTTGATTTCTGTGAGGCCCAAGAGTAGATGTTACTGTCAACATCATTTTGGACACGAGAACCTAAGGCACAGGTGCTAAGTAACTTGTCCCATAGCTGTAGGGCTAATAACTGGAGCCATACAGAATGCCCAGGGATGACTGCGGGAGGCTATGAGTGTGGCACCGAATCGCAGCACATCACATCTGATCCTGGCCTCTCCCAGGGTGAAGAAAGAGAATGTTTAATGAGCAATATTACCACAATTATAAAACCAGGTTTTCTCCAACTCACACACATAAAGCAGCTTCCCCTACAAATCAGCAAGGAATTCAACAGAGTTCCACTTACTGGGTGCTCAACCTTGCCAGGTACATCCTTCAGGCCTCCTGCTTGGGCTGCACGTGAATTATGTGTTATTATTCACAAATGATGAGGAGGTCAGTGTTGTGTAGACCACAAGCCAGTATACTTTTTTCTGCTAAGATCAGATAATAAATATTTTAGGCTTTGTGGGCCAGAAAGTCTATCGCTCGCTCCTCAACACTGCCACTGTAGTCCCAAAGCAGTGTCATGCCGGTTAATACAGATGGGAGGGGTCCAACCATAACGTTTACTTCAAAAACAGAGAGGGCTGAAGCAGGCCACAACATAGACTGACCGTGGGGCATGACAACAAACTGCCACGCTAGCAACAGCATGAGCCTTGTTCAAGTCAGCAGCTTCTCTAGCCTGCACATCTGGGAGGCTGAGGAGGAGGCTGAGGAGGAGGCTGAGGAGCCTGCAACAGCAGGCTCAAGGGAGACACTGGGGCTGGGGAGGGGGCACCTGGACAGGAGGACCCCAGTGCCCCAGATGCACCATCAGGCTGTGACGGACAACCCCCGACACTGAAACCACTTCCTCAACAAAATACACTATGCTGCAGTCAGGCTGTGCAGAAATAATCAATCTTACACTGTTTTCAAGTAAAATGTTAGAGAAAACAAACTTCACCGGTTTAAGTTCCTTACAGAAAGTGCTAAAGTTGTCTTGGAATCTCCCATCCCTGGGTCACATGCAAACTCGTGGCTGGTGGCCAGGGCCACCTTGGTGGAATGCATACCTTCTGCACCCCGGTGGGCTGGGCTGTGGGGCCCTTCCTCCACCCTGATCTCATGGCCTCCCTCCCAGGTTATCTAGACTACAGTCAGTAGACTACAGTGCTCCTCTGTGGCTCTTGCTCTTATTAAAAATAATCATGCTCACTCATAGTTGGACTAAACACATAACAAATTCACACACTCATGGATGACTTGGGGCTACTCTCCTCCTTCCCCCAACCTTAGATATGTGACTCACTGGTGAGAAGCCTTTTTCAGTGAAAGCATATGTGCCTGCTGCTTTCAAAGGAAATGAAATAACACTTTAATCTGGTAGAAAACAAGCATTTAGACATAGCTATGGCAGACTACACTCCTAAAGTGGTTTTATTAGACAAAGAAGGTTCCTGATCTTGTCTGGCTCTTCTCACAGTTAGAATAGAGAAATGCTGTTACTTCCAGTTCTGTATCTCAGGTCTAACTGGCAGCCCAGGCTGTATCTCAGTGAGCAAAATGGAAGGAACAGCGAAGAGGTTTCGGTACTCTGCACTCTACTCCAGGCTCTTCCCCCTTAGGGATCAAAGAGCAAAGAGCTGTGCTTCCAATGTGGGGTATCAGGCTGTGCCTCCCAGCAGGAGACCCTGTCCTGGGGGGCAGGTGCTGGAGCATAGCCCCTGTGTCGCCCACAGGCTGTGCATATACTTCCAGGGGCCCATCTGGGGCTGGGAAGCCAGGTTATTTTTCTCCACTCAGTTGGGTTGACTCAAAAGTGCACATCCATGGAAATATTCTAACGTAGAGGCCTCATTTGAGAAGAGAAATGCAAAGCCCCCTTTTCTTTTCTTTCTTCCTTACACTCATGTGTCTGGTAAAAACATTTCCAAAAGGCTTCAAATGGCTTCTGAGGCATCGATGGATGAAACAGAGGCTTTAGGAGCAAGGTCTGAGCACCGGTGCTGACACTTCCTGGCAGTGTGACCTTCAGGAGTTATTTAACCTTTCTGCACYGCAAGCAGTACTGTCACCTGGAGACAGGTGATGCTAAGGGAACACCCAGGGTGACTAGTACAGGGCAGGCAGGGCTGCCTGAGGAGTGGCAACTGCATGTGCCATCATCAACCAGCGCGACGCTCCTCCCCACCAGCCTCAAAGATGTGTGGATGGGGCAAAAACTGACCCCCCCCACTTGATAGCATATCTTTCTTCCCAAGATAAACAGAAACCAAATATGTAAGCCAAGCAAAATATGAGAGGAAAAGCCAGGAATGAGGAGTGCGATCTTATTTCCATGTTTCTCTAATAGATTAGTAATTTGTTGGCACCAGCTTTGACAGAAAGCAGATGGATGCAGCATTAAGCACAATGAAGGCAGCAGATGCCGGGCCAGCCCACCTCAGCTGGCCTGGTCTTACAGCCAAGTCYGAGAGCACACAGTTTTCAAGTGGGTTCGTCTTGGCACACAGCTTTGGAAAATTGGTCACCAAATGAATTCAGATTTCAACCCACTAGGACTTATATTCAAGTGGGAATGCAGCAGCTAGCCTCTGTTGAAGTCGTCACCATTATTTTAGGAGGACTGCAGATCATTTTGTATCTGACTACAGAACATTTGAATTTGGTGGTCATAACCAATTTTCAAGCTTACTGTATTTATTAAGCTGCTAAGTGTTCCCACTCACACATGACATCTGTTTCTCAGTGTCAATCATTTAGCAATTATATATGAATGACTACTATGTGCAAGCTTCTGCAGCATCCCCCTCGGCAGAGGAGGATAAAAGGAGGCACACTTCAGAAGCCAGACCAGAGGAAACGCACCGTTAGTCATGCTATGACGAACATTATGAATTAGGGCTAAACATGAATTTACCTTATTTTAAAGCCAATGTCGTTCACCATTTTTATAACAATTTACTACATGATATGGTCACATTTTTGGAGAWACAATTTATATACAATAACAAACATGCAATCCCATAACCACCAGCACAACTGAGATATAGAATATTTCTGCCGAAGCAAGAAGTTCCCTCTTGTTCACTGTTGTCAGGCGTAAGTCCAAGCCTAGCCCTGASCAGACAGTGATCTGATTTTTTCCCACGTAGTTTTGCCTCTC